CCCCAAAACCCCAAAACCCCATTAAGGCAGATGCATTATATTTTAGTGATTATATTGATTTAGAATAACCCAATGCCCAATTTAAATTGATTTATCAAATTAAAATGTTAGATTATATGATAAGTTTCTTAATTATTTGATTAATTACAATCACTACTTTGCTTCTCTCACATTACTCTAATTTGTCCTCTAATTTCCTCCAACCTTTAGCTCCTCTTCTGTTTTATTCTATTATTCATCTTCAGACTTAACTCTTAAGGGTGTGCACTTCATATTTAGTAAGTCGTACACCTTTTAAGATTCATCATTCAGTCCATCGTATATCTTAGCCTTTCTAAATTTCATATCAACTAGTTACTTCTAATAGTCTTGCCATCTATAACCCATTAATTAATTGCAAAATAAGATTACTTTTATATGAATTCATCAATAGAATCTTCTTCAAACGTTTTACGAGCGTATTCAAATTAATGCCTCAGACTTGAATCACAAATACCCCTTAGGTAAAAGGGAAGATTATGCTGGTGAGTCTTTAATATAATACGATAGTTTAGTAGCAAATTCTTAATCGCTATATTTGATAATTTTTACTCCATTACAACTTATTCTATAATTTATTAATCAATTAAATTCATGAAATTAAGTTAAAGAATTTCTCAAGTTAACTATGCTTATTTAATTAAGATTTCATTTATTGAATCATATCTGCACCTCTTATTCGACTTCGTTTTCTGTTTATTTCTTAGGCTCTGTTTAATAGGATGAGGCAATACCGACTAATCCTTTTTGAATAGGCAATACTGGGGTCTTTTCTGTTCCAATCTCCAAGCCTTTATAGCTTAGTTACTCAAACCTCTAAATGACTTAACTTGAAAATATTGGAATTAACTCTTGATGCTCCTTTTTACTAATGATACAAATTAAATAAATTGATAATTTACACCAAAGCCAACTGTGTTTCATCAACCTTATGATTATCAAGTTCAATCTGTATCTTGTCTAAATCTTTCTACTATTGCTTTATTTAAGGTAGAATTTAGTTGAAATCAGTTATGATTTTAGATTCCCATTAAAAGGCGTCTTCTTCGAATGCCATAAATAATTCATGCGGTGTGACGACTGTCATGTTGAACTTTTTAAATGGAACTAGACTTGTTTCTGGACACCCAATTATAACATACAAATCAATCTAAATACTTTCATTAAAAAATCTAATAGTAAATTTACGAATTGGAAATTCTTCAACTTAGGCTCATTTAGCTTTCCTATCAACACCTCATAATACTTCTTTCCAGCTTTCATGACAGATAGTTTCACGCTATTTATAATATCCATGTAGTTATCAACAGCAACTGTGCCAATTAATATACCGAGCACCTAAGATTCATTGATTTTGTCAATGTTATTGTATCTCTGCATTAAAGCTTTGTTCACTTAGCCTTTCTATACCTAATCTAAAGTCTTTGATAGTATGTTGTAATTGTAGATTTGATGAGAACTACCCACATTCATCATTAATGTGCTGAATAAGCTGGTATCATCCTGTTCCATTGAATAAATATCATGATAGCTGATATATACAAATGACTAGCCTTGTTTTAAGTCAATATTTGCATCATCAAAAGATCTTCCTAATACCTTATACTAAAATTTATTTTCTTCTGTGGATTATTCTACTGATACTTTATTTATTTGTAAAGATGGAATGATATTGAAAAGATTGGTATCTATTGTTCCTATAATTATTTTATCTCTAAGTTAAATATCCTCTATACTCATAAAGTAATCAGATACTTCTTTAAAAATCACAATGTCTGGGAAGATTAGAATGCTAGTAGTTATAGTCTGAAGTTATTCTTTAAGATCATCTAGAACCAACATGAAATCTAAATCTTGCTATTTAGGAAGTACATAGAGAATTTCTTTATCTGGCCTGATATGAGATTTCGAAGCAGTGGAAAGACAGCACTTCCCAAAGTGAATAATCAGATCATTGTTATTAAGATGACTTGCATTGACATCATCCACGCAGCACTCTCCATAAGACCTATCAATAATGGTGTTAAGACTTCATACTATCTTTCATATTAGACTCATTGAAGGAGATAAGCAGAGCAAATAATAATATAACTTACGTATCACCAAGTACATAGAAGTATCTCTCTGGGAGTTCTTCTCTAAACATCATGTACAAATCAACTGAATCATTCAGCATTGAATCTGGCAGCTATAAAGCTATGCTATATTGAAATGTTTATATTTTGATTGAATTGTATATATCATTACTTTTTGAAAGGCTTTGCTTTGAGATACTCAACAATTTACTCGAAATAATAGCGATCTCTCAGTAAAGATGAATCTACTGAAGTTAGAGTAGTTGATTCCATGTTTTATTATAGTGTTTAATAGAATGTATTATTTTACTATTGATCTACAAAATTATATTAATGGAATATATTTATATTGCAAAATTATCCAATCAATTGAAACTAGGGGTTTTGGGGTTTTGGGGTTTTGGGG